AGAAAAATAACTGTTATAAGGGAAGGTTTGAGGAAGGAGTCACTGAAAAACTGAACATCAACCACAGTTCAATCAGGAAAACAGACACTATATTATGTTGCCTACAGAACTTAATAATTGGGTATTATTGCACAGAGGGTAAAAGGGTGATCCACACCAAAAAGGGGGACACGGAGCTGATTCAGATATGTAGTGTAGGAAACTGTCACTGCCTTAAGGCTGGGGAAGCAAAGGGAAAATTCTGGATTCTTAGAACTAAGAAGCTCAAAGGACGGGTCCTATTGTTTAGGGCATGGACCTTTGAGAACTGGGCATAGCCTCACTTTTGTGGGTAACACTGAGGTGTTGTGGTGATTTCTTACAGCATAAAGATGGGAGGCTGGAGCCCACTGCTGAAGACAGGCTGATGGGCCATTACTACTGAGGTGATGCTGATAGGAGCAGGAAGTAAACAGAAGGGAACACATGTCTTCTCCCCCGCTCCCACCTACCGCCCTCTGTCCAGTGACTTCTACTGATAGAACTCTCAAGAAGCCAGCTGGCAAAGGAGACGGATGTGTGCAGAGGCCAAGCCCCAGTGCTAAGTGTGAATATGGAATGGAGACATGATAGCTTAGTAAGTAGCACTGTTGTTTAGTCGCTAAATTGTGTCTGACTCTATAGCTACCCCATGGACTATAGGCTCCTCTGTCCATGGGATTTCCCAGGCAAGAATACTGGAAGGGGTTGCCATTTCCTTCTCCAGGGGATCTTCCTGACCCAGGGATTAAACCCATGTCTCCAGCATTGGCAGGAGGATTCTTCACCACTGAGCCAGCAGGGAAGCCCTAAGTAGCACTAAGAGCAATTAAATCCAGAGTGTCAAGCCATGGTCAGTTAAAGTAACCATCTTGCAGCTTGAAAAACTCAACATGGTCATATACTCAAGACCTTAAGAAATTAATATTCTTCTGCTGAGTCTGTCTGCCATTAGACATACACTTGAGTATGCTTGTCACTATAGATATCATTCAATCATCCAATCTGAGAGCTATATGGCAGATATTTTTCAAGGTGGTTGAGTTTCAACAATGAAAAAATAAATAGGTTTCTGCCCACCCTTGTGGAACTGTCATTCTAGTAAATAGAAAAAAGATAACATATAAAAATACAATGTATCTGATGGTGAGTGCAATGGAGATAATAAAGCAAGTTGTGTGTGTGTGTGTGTGTGTGGTGGGGGAATAGGGATTGGAGGTGGAGGCAGCTCTTTCATATGGGGTGGTCATAGAAGATCTTAATGACAGAGTGTAATTAGAGTAAAAACCCAAAAGAAATCAGAGGAAGAAAGCAGTATAAATATATGGTTGAAGATCTTTTCAGTACGAAATGGCTGTATCTGATAAAAATGGGTGGACTTCTTTTATGGATTTGCAGTTTAACTATTTGCATAGTTCTGCTATAGACGACTGTGAATCTAGCTGGGTAACATCAACTTACTGTCAAAATATAGTACCAATTCAAACATTCCACAAAGCATTGCTCATCTCTTCCACTGAGAGAAATGCTATACTTCTTCACGCAGCAGGTTATAAAAAAATTGCTGATGGTAAAAGAACTAGCTGAGGTATGTACATAATAGCCTACCTGTACTAAAAAAATATTTCCTCTTTCAGAGTCAGGTATGAAATCTAGCCTCAAACTTTTTATTTGGATCATCTGAGTAAATGTAAAATGTCCAAACTGTACATAGATGTCTTTGATGTCTTTGTCAAACTTCATTTTTTAATTAAGAGTTAATGAACCTTGATAATTGGCCAACAGTCCTTAAGGCTTAAAGTGGGATGGATACCATCAGTGCTCTTAATCAAAAACAATGAAATCACTGTTGGCATTAGAATCATGTTGCTTTTTGTTCAGATAATTTTTTTTTCTTGGAAAATACATGAATACTTTGGATTCAGTGGTACCAGAGATGTCAATACTAACTATGATTAAGTATTCCTTCAACCAGTTTGCCACTCAAACAATACAACTGAACTTACCTGTAAAGTCAGACATCTGAAAATGATATAACCCAGTTATATTCTTATGTTAAAGGCTTTAAGAGAAATAACTGTAATTCTAGTGCTTGAAAAGAGTGAGTTGTACCATGTAATGTAAAATCTTTTTCTGTAGATGGTAATAATCTCCTACAGGAAAACTTAAGGTGGGTATGTCTTCGTTTGAGAGGAATGTATTTGAGACTGGACACGAAGAAAGTAGAAGTTTGAATTAGTCAACTTGTTTTCAACTTTTTAAAAGGAATCTTGGGCAGTCAGTGGTGTCTACCAGAAGGCAAGAACTTGACTCTGGTGGTGAGACCACCACACCTGGCTTGTGGAGTTTGCAAACTTCGTGCCTAGGTTCCTCTGGCTATCAAGGAGGTATAACAGTAATTGTAACCTTTCTTGCTTTGACATCTCTGGCTGAAGCTGGCGTGTTCAAACAAATTATTATTAAAACATAATGCATGTATGCACATAAAACACCAGCATGGTGCTCTTTTCAATTTTATATTACATTTATAAAATACTGGTCCTTCCATGCTCCCTTCACTTTAGGTCAGAGGAGAATATAATCATAGCATACTAATCCAGTTCTCAAAATACGGAGGAAATATATTCTTTAAAGCTCCGTAGCATCCCTTTGAGAAGCACTAAACCGCCTAATCCCTCATGGTCTCTGCAGCAATTGCGTGATGGTCCCCATATTAAGTCTTTGGCACCTTTTCAAATCTTGACTAAATTACTTTTTATCTGGAGACTGGAACTATCAGGGAAAGACTCGGGGAATGAATTGGCTAGCAGTATTAAAATTCTAGCTGTTTAACATTTAACTGAGTATCAACAACGTGTTAAAGTGCTATCTAAACATAATTAGCTAGTCATGGCACAGTGGGCTCTGTCTAAATTTAACTGTGAAATTAGGTTTAGGGAATGTGAAAATAGGGGGGAATTTTTTCTCAAGGGAAACGGTGGTGTCAGCACAGCTGAGGAATGTCACAATAGCTACATTTAGTCAGTTATGATCATCATCAGGGCATCTCCTGGAGCGACGCAGGACAGGGTTTATTCTGAAGTCCATTCAGACTAGGTGATGGAAAGGAGCGGTTGCAGGAGGCAGACAGGAATGGAGAGGGAGCGAGAAAAGGGGTGGAGGAAAAGAGGTCTTTAAACCGAGCGCTGGAAGACTGGATGGGCGGTGGAAGTTAAGAAAGACAAAAAGGGCGGTGGGCAGGGGTAGAACTGCGTGTAGTCTTGGAGGTCAGTAAAACGCTAAGTTAGTGGGTGGAGGTCGGGGAGCCCTAGTGACTGAACGCGGAGGACAGCGTGATCTTGGTGAGAGAGAATCATTCGTTTAGCTGCGACAGGCGGCCAAATCCTTTTTTGACTTTATTCTTATTGGAGCACATACGTGGCTATCCGGTGGCGATGGCAGGACCAACATAAAATTAATGGTGTCAGGATTGAGGATGCGTGTCCTCCGCCCCCAGCCCCCCTCGGGACAGTGGAAGCTGTCCACCACCCCCGCAGAACCGCCGGTGGCTGTGGCTCCAAGGTTAAGCCGCCCGGGCAGTGCGTGGCGGGCAAATGAAGAGGGCAGCGTGCGCAGCCACCGGGGTGAATGAGGGTCGCGGAGGATCACAGACGCTCCTTTTACGGGCAAATATTGAATATTTCTCGAGGTCACTGTCCCGCGATCAGTTCACAGGAAAACAGGCAACGAAAATAAAATCACATGTGCGAACATGCAAATGAAACAAAACCAAAGAAAAACACCACCGCACTACAGGCGCTCCGATCTGGGAAATCCACGGCCTCCTGTTGCCAGCCGCCCGGCGAGGACAGCGGACAGCCGGGCGGCCAGAGAACCGAGAGCGAGAAAAGACCTGTGCCGCTCCTCTCCTTGCCCGGCTCCGTTGACCCTTTCACCAAACTGCCCTCCATGAGAAAGGGGAAGAAAAACGCCTGTGCAAACGTGCCTCGGCGGGCTAAGGGGGAAGCGGGGCTGGGAAGAAAGGAGGGATTCGGAGGGCTCGGCTGTCCCGGGAAGCAGGAGGGAGAAAGTCTCTCCTTCCAGGCCGCGGCGAAGAGGGAGAGGACTAGTCCCGCAGAATACGTCCAGCTTCCCAGAAAGAAACCTTCAGCCGGGGCCACGGAAGGGCAGCCCCATCGTGCCTCCCTCTCCCCACCCCCTCTCTCCTCCGGGTCCCCGCCAGAGGGAGAAAGCCGCCCGGGCTGGCGGAGCTGCGAGCTCGACCGTCCCACCGCCCTCCGCCTCTATCCGAGCTGGGGCCGCGGCGGACCCGCGAAGGGCGGAGTGGGCGAGACCATTGGAAAGGCTGGGGGGGGGGCAAGGCAGGAACGCGAGGGGCGGGGCCTACTAACCTAGTCCAGATTTTCTGTCCTCTTTAAAGCCCTGCTTTGGGAGAAACCCCGTTATCTTAGAGGAGAAGAGAGATTTTTTTTTTGAAAGGGGCGGGGCGAGTGCCGGAGGGCGGGGTGGGAGGAGTCGCGGCTCGCACTCGGGATCAGACGGGAGCGCGAGTCGCGCGGGTTGGGCGGGCGCGTCCCTGCTCCTGCTCCGAGGGTCCGGCTTCCTCTCCCCCTCCCGCGCGGGGCGGGGTGGTGCGTTCCGAGTTCCCAGGAGTTCGAAGTGGGCGGGTGCCGGGCTGGGGGGGAGGGGAGTGGCGGCGGCGGCGGCGGCGGGCGGCTCCCGCCTCAGCCTCGGCAGTGGCGTCGGCGACGGCGGAGTCGAAGCAGCCGCGAGCGCTCGGCGGAGTGTCAGCCGGCGGCGACGGCTCAAGAGCTGGGAGTTAGGGACGCGCGCTCCGGACCTTCCGCCGAGGCCACTGCCGCCGCCGCCGCCCAGAGCCGGAGTACTTTCCTCCGCTTCTCCCCCCGGGGCCGGGCTCCTGCTGCCGCCCCCGACGCCGCCGCCGCCGCTGCTCTTGCCGCTGCTGCTCTTCTCTTGGCCGGGGGGAGGGGGGGATGGCGCGGACCCCGGGGCCGGCTCCACTGTGCCCCGGAGGCGGCAAAGCACAACTTTCCTCCGCTTCTCCCCCCGGGGCCGGGCTCCTGCTGCCGCCCCCGACGCCGCCGCCGCCGCTGCTCTTGCCGCTGCTGCTCTTCTCTTGGCTCTGTGGTAGGTGGACCTCGGCTGCCGGCGCGGGCTGAGGGGAGGCGCGGCCGCGGGTCCCTGCGCCGCGGCCGGGCCGGCGCGGGCCGCTCTCGTGCGGAAGGCGGTTGTGTTCGGCGGTTGGCTGAGCGAGCGGGTGCCGTGGACTTTGGCTGGAAACTTTTCGCCGCGCCCGGGGCGAGGCCGGGGAAGGGCCGGGGCCGGCGGGTGAGGCGCCGACTGCCCGCTCCCCTCCCCCGCGGCCGCGCGGCTCGCCACGCTGCCGGTCGGGGTCTGGCCTCGGCGTTCTCCGTCCGGACGCCGAGTGCTCGGCGCGACAGGGGTCCCTCGCTGTTTGCTCTCGGGACCGTTACTTGCTCGCTCCTACGCGGAGGAAGCCGAGAGCACGGACTTCTGTGCTGGCGCTTAGGTGATGGGGTGCTGGTTTGCCGCCTCATTTTTTCCCGGGTGAAACTTGAGCTGTGAGCCTAGATACCTTTAGGAACGCAAGAACCGACGACGGAATGAAGCCTTTGGGTTCCCACCCCGCTTCTCCTTCCACCCGGGAGAAGGCACCGTGTCAGCCCACCCTGCAGCTGCCCCTCCAGTTTCCTTGGATCCTACGGCCCCTTTCTGCCCTGGCAGCCTCTGGATCGCTTTGCTTTGAGCCTGTCGCTGCCTTCCAGTTTGTGGGACGCCTGTCTCTCTGTCCATGTTTATTTTAGCTGAGCCAGTTTGTCTTCAGGACTTTGATTTGTGTGTGAAATACCTGACTGCGTTGGCTGTGCCCGGCTGTTCTGGTCAAAATGAGCCCCGCGCCTCTGCCCACCGCTCTTCCCACATGTTCTATTACCGTTGTGTCACATTTGGGAGGTGGTCTCATTGTAATTTCACTTCCCAGGCATCAGAGACTAGAAGCCTGCTTGTTAAGAGTATCGTTGAATAAATATCTCCGTTTCATGCGAGAGACGTAGACTTCCGTGATCCTTAATGGAGGGCGGCGATTTGGGAGACTAAGGCCACCGGTCTAGCTCTGGGGACTGGCTCTGTCTTTTGGTAATACCGGAACACAGCAGGACGTTATTCATTCGATGACTCCCACTTAGCAGGAAAGCGGAGAGGAAAACTTAGGCTTGCTCAAAGCGTGTTTTACCTGAGACGTTTTTCTGGTACATAAATCTGCTCTTGTATGTCAGCGTTTAATGAAATTTTAGAAGAAACCAGGAAGTTTTACCAGTATTTACTACAAGAAGAGATGTGTGCGGTTTTCTTGGATGGTGTGATTTAGAAGAGAATCCTATACCCCTGTACCGTGTGGGTGTGTTGGGGTAGCTGGTTATGAGGAAGGCAAAGTTTTCAAGAGATTGAGTGCCCCTTATAGGCGGAGAATTTCCACTGCCAAATCACTATCACGTTTAAAGCACTATAATGACAGTTTCTGATTTACAGAGTATAGTGTGATAAATGGCATGTTATCTAATCTACATTGTTTCTGTAGTCCCACTCCCCAGATGTTTGCTTTCAGGACACAGTTCTTAGTGCTGTACTTCTTTATATTGATGCAAGATTCTGAATTGAGTTTTGTGTAATGTTCTTTTGCATTAAGAAGTATTGGAATACTCCTTAATGTGGGAGGAAAATGGGAGGGGGTTGTTAAAGAGTTTACTATTCTGATTCAGATTGTGTTAAAGACTAAGAACATTGGTACTTGCAGTCAAGGTTTATCCAGCTAAGCAAAGCCCCATAGAAGACTGAAGCAAGGTAATATGTACAGGTAATACAAGGAAAATTAAATTTGGGTAATTTTGTAGTTATTGTGAAAGTAAAGTGTTGTTTACTTTTTGAAGAAACACATTGGAATTCACATGAAAGAAGAGAGGAATTAAAAAATCATCTCCTTAATAATGTGCTTGATATTTTAGAGTTCTGAAAACTCAAGTAGTATAGGCAAATGGACTGTGATTTAGAGAGATGTAAATTTAAGTTTTTAAGAGTTGTCTCTGCTTGTAGTTGTAGAGACAGACACTAGCTTTGTATTACTGTGCACTGCTCATTTAAAGAGCTTCCTTTTTTTGGCTTATAGTGTTATAACACCCTAATTTGTGAACCGTTATGACAAGTTTTTTTTTCTGTCAACCTTTATTTTAGAATTAAGTCTTTGAATAGGGCACAGTTGTCCTGATTTATGGATACTTAGTAAGTATGGAAACGGAAGTTTCTTTTTGTAACCTGTGCATTGATCTAACATTCATAGTACTACTTACAAGCTTTGTCATGTACTGATGTTTGAGTTTAGTTTTATTTATTTATAAAATTTTGTTGAAGTGTAGTTGAGTTACAATGCTTTGGAAGTTGTTAGGAATGAGAAGATTTTTAGGCCTTGACTATATGACGATTTATTAATTAGAGTGCTTTACTTATTTTTACCACATACAGCTTCTTTTTTTCTTTTTGCTGCTGTTTTTGATATTCTGGTTGCATGTAGCATGGCCGTAACTATGCTAAACTCTTGCAGTATCCTCTCTTAGCACAATGTCATTTTTATGTCATGCTAATTTTACTGCTATAAAAAAGCCCTCACATTCAAACTAGTAGACATGATATTCTGAAAACTATAAAAAAGTAATTAGATTTGTTCTTTTGAAGGGTGTACATTATCTGTCCTATTTGAAGAACTGAAATTCTCACTCGTCGGGGTTAGTTTGTGTGTGTATGTGTATTAAACCTGATAAATCGTGGGTATAAAGGTTAAGAGGACTAGATTTTCAACATTTTCTGACTTGATAAACCTCATTTATTTAATTCTGGAAGTCCATATTTTTTTATGATGCCAATAATCAATTCATATGTGATGAGATTTATCTTAGTTTCCCTTCCAATATTTTTCTTGAGGGACAGAGAATATTAGCAGGGATGTCGTAACGATGAGAGAGAAGATAGACTATTGACCTAAGTTCCAGCTCTTCCCATTTTCAACAAGGTTTTATCTTAAGTAGATATTTAGAAGATTATAGAAGAAAAAATCTGACATGGTGATGGACCATTTAACAGCACTTTCAGAAATCTCTTTATTCATGGCGCTTGTTAGACACTTGAGGACACTGAATAAGGCAGAGCCCTGGCTTCAAGGAGCTTACAACAGTCTAATAGACGTAATGTAAATCAGTGATTGCAGGACTTCCCTGACGGCAAAGAATCCGCCTGCAGTGCAGAAGACCTGGCTTCCATCCCTGGGTTGGGAAGGTCCTCTGGAGAAGGGAACTGCTACCCACTCCAGGATCCTTCTCTGGAGAAATCCACGGGCAGAGGAACCTGGCAGGCTACAGCCCATGGGCTCACAAAGAGTCAGACACAACTGAGCGACTTTCATATAGGACAGCTTGGTGTTTATGATTGATTTGTGCATGAGGTACTGTCGATTACCTGGAAGAGGAATACCTAACCAACTATGTAGGGATATTAGTATAAACTGAGGAAAAAAAGTTACCTAAGAAAAAATCAGTTGAGTCAGATTTTCTTGCTGAGATAGGTCACTGTGGTAGGTGGTATAAGTTTGCTCTCTGCACTTTATGGTTAAGATACTAAATAGGCAGTTTGAATCTGAAAAAAGATTGTCACTTACCAGCTGTGTGACTCTTGGCAAGTTATTTAACCTCAGTAAATTTAAGTTTTCTCATCTTTTCAAAAAAGGGTAATATCAACTTATAGAGTTCTTGTGAGGATTAAATGAAAGAAAATAGCAGAATGCATGGAATATACATTCAAATTTTAGCATTTATTTTATTTCATATTATTATTAGGGGCTTCCTTGGTGGCTCAGTGGTGAAGAATCTGCCTGCCAGCGCAGGAGATGTGAGTTCGATTCCTGGGTTGGGAAGATCCCCTAGAGAAGTAGTGAATGGCAACCCATGTCAGTAGTCTTGCCTGGGAAATCCCATGGACAGAGGAGCCTGGTGGGCTGTAGTCCACGTGGTGGCAGAAGAGTCGGACACGACTGAGCTACTGAACAACAAAGACAGACCAGCTGTTTGTCATTCTTAAATTTTACCCTGATGCCTTCAGTAATTGGGTTTTCAACTTGATTGACTTGCTTTTTTTTATACTTTCATCTTTATTTTGAATGTATAGCCCAGTCAGTGCTCTTGAAGTGTTGGTTAAATTTACCTCAGATAAGTATACAGACCAGTTTTCAGAATGTTAGGATGTAGTGAAATTAACCCAGCTGTGTAATTGTATGGAATCTGGTTGGATGGTTCCATAATGATGGAGAATGTTTTAGGGCTTGGCGGTTCTGTGTGATCACTTAGAATGTTAGTGGTTATACTGAAAGGGTAGAGTTGAAACTGTGCAGTTGAAGATGGAGTCATAATTTCATTTCTACTTTAACAGGTTACTGGTATTATCAGGTTGGAGCCTACAATATATATTGCCCATATCAATCTTCCTGCTTCTAAGACGGATATAATTGGAAAGTGACCCAAATTTAAAAGGAAGCAAAAAAGAGCAAATTTTGCATTTAGCTACACTGTCCAAAATAGGAATTGGGAAAAGCTAGTCAATAATATATTTGTGAGTGTAGGTATATTTAGTGTTTTAACCTTATTTATGTCACTTATGCGTATATATGTGTGTGTAAAAAGTGATTCAGCATCTCTAAGGTACATTTTGCACCTGTATAGTTAAGGAACAAAACTTATGGCTTATTGCCTTTTATTTGAAAATGATTGAAGTGAAGCTGGCTGTGATACCCTTGTTAAAAAGGAGTATTTTGGTATTCTGTTGCTTACCCCTTAAAAACTTAGTGAGTAAATAACATATTCCTATGGCATATTCTATACTCTATTAAAGTCCTCATAAAGTTGGCAATACTGAATACATGATTTGTGAAGGATGTGGCATTTAATTAATAATAGCCGAAGTGAAGTGAAGTGAAAGTCTCTCAGTCGTGTCCTACTCTTTGCAACCCTGTGAACCATACAGTCCATGGAATTCTCCAGGCGAGAGTACTGGAGTAGGTAGCCTTTTCC